CTGAAACAGGGATAACTGTCAGTTAAGCTGTGTTTGCCAGACAGTGTTGGATTACCCTTCATGTTGGAAGCACAGGTCTGTTTTATTTGCTCTCTAATCACTCTGTGTGATCCAGCACAGTATGTCTTATACCCCCTCGCAGGGAAAGGCATGGAGGTTGCTGTTCCTTCTAGATCTGCAGAATTTCCTGGGTTTGCAAATAGTTACTAGCTTGCTGCTTGGCACAAAGAAAATAGAGGAGAAAGCTGAACATCCTGTGGGTAGAAGGGGTTGCAATGGGATGCAAAAGCTGCTGGTGGTGAAGGCTGCTGGGAACACTGCTAAGTTGGCCATGGCAATAAGGGAGTCTAAAAATAGGCTATTTTTTCTTGATTCTCAGGCAGATCTGGCACCATGACCTGAATTCTGTTGAGTTGCAGCCTGTTTGCTGTACCACGTCCAGTGTGCTCTAACAAGTTCTTGTTTGTCCTGGATAAACTTATATTTTGCTGAATTAATGAGCAGGTACAGTTTGTAGAGTGAGATCAATGAAGAATTCCTAGGAATGTCAATAACACATAAAATAGCTAATGTAAGTACCAAATTAGGGTTTCATCTTCAGTTTACTAAAAGCCAGTGTTTTCCAGCAGGATTTTAGAGCATTTGGAAAGCACTGATTACTGTCTGGCTTTCCAGCTTTTAAAACCACTTTCCAGTCCTTTCAGTGCACACTATCTATTAACTTTGAGAAACTATTTCAGAGAAAAATAGAAGTGAAGAGGAATGTGTTTAAATCGATAAACTAAATAAAATGTTGAAATGTAGTGCTAAAGTAAAACCTGGCAATTTGTACAGGGAACACTAATGGACCTTCTGTATAGCTACTTGGATGATTTGAAAAAGTTCCGTTTAAAAGTTATGAGGAGTATTGAAAATGATTTATATTTGGTTTTAGAGTATGTTTCTTCCACCTCCTTGTCCCTCTGAGTGTTTTGCTAACAAATTTTGTGATATATTTTCTTTGATGTCACTACAACCTACAGTAGGTAGTTCTATGGCTCACACAGAGGATACGTTCTAATAAGTTCTGAAAGAAGCAGGGATCTGTCTTCTACATTAATGAATTTAAGATAAGATGTAGAGGAAAAAAACGGAAAGTTTAATCTAGATTATTTTCTTAACCTTCTCCTGTCCTTTTGTGTTATAAGTCAGAATTTCAAGGCAGCTAAGAGACAATTTTTCAAACTATGATTATAAGACCAGGAAAATTCTCATTGTCAGTGCTCAGTGAAATAATCTTATGTATATTTTAATGGGTGCTCCATTAATTTATGTAAGAAAATGCATCCTCATACGTTTTTACTTAAATATTTAGGATCTGAGCTCAAATTATTTCTTAGCCAGTCAATTCTGCAAATACAAAGATAAAATTCTGTCTACAACCAATTTTTTAAAAATTAATTTTATCTCTTTTATGCTTCAACTTGAAATCATCTATTTCTGTCTAGTGCTTTATAACTGGACTACCATCTTCCAAATGGAGAACTCTCTCAAATCCAGTCTTGAAACTATGTTTTAAACTGAATTCTTGACTGATTTTTACATAAGAAAGAGTTAAAGTAGGCAAATCTGTATTCTTGAAGTCTACCCAGTGTTTTTGTGGTGGAAGTTCCAAAGAATAAGGGGATGCCAAGGGGTGTAATTTCAACTAAGCTCCTCAGTTCCTGTGCATATGCATGTTCAATAACCTCTCTGTTGATATCTTGAAAGAGATTGTTTTAAACGTGTCACAGTTTAAGGAGTACTTTTTGAAGACTGAACTAGCAACTATTATTTCCTTATATGTGTGAGGATATTTGAGTAACTAAATGATAAAATACCCTGAAAATGCAAATCCAATGGCAGAATGTGTAGCAGAAAACTGACATTGTAAATGAGTAGAATAGCTGCAAAGGCAGGCAGTTTACATAATGAACATAAACGAGATTGTCTTTAATAACTTTGCTTGAAAAATCCTGTTTAAAAGATTCCTGTGGTATTCTCTGCACCATATATTCTGTATATATAAGGTAAGATAAGTTGCTCTCGAAGTGTAACACTGTAGATATTCATGTCCACCACTATTCCCATACAATGAGATCATTTTTGTGTCAAGAAGTGAAATACTCCAGTATTCTTTGACATTGCTGCCAAGTAGCACACAGCAGACTGCGTGCATACATTAAATTTTCTCAGTCTCTTGATCAGTGGCCAGATCCTGACTACTGAGAGGAATGGCTGGCCTGTTTCCACTCCTGTGCCATGGTAATTCACATGGTCAAAGCAGGTCTTACAGAAGCAACCCTCTGTTTGCTGGTTGTGACTGTTAGAGCCATTTGGAGATTGCCGGGGGATGAGTTGAACAGCACTTTCTGAGCTGGCTTTGACCCAGAACAAGTCCAAGCAGAGTGGAGGCATCAGGGCAGAGAGTGCTGACATCTGAAAGAAAGTTGGCTTGAAAATGGCCTGAGGGGTTCAGGTCCCTGGGCTCACTCCTGGGAGTCACAGCTGAGCTGGAACCTTGCCTAGTAGTCAGTGAGGGTAGTTTTTTTGTGTCTTGGGAAGAGAAGAGGTGCAGTTAGGGAAGGAAGTGCAGAAGAATGCAGTAGGATCAAGACAAGGAGTAGTACAGTAGTGAGATGATGTGAAATACCTTTAGTTCATGATCCATTCACAGACAGTTGCAAACCAAACCGTGGAGGTTCAGTTTTTGTTTGCGTTGGAGTTTCTTTGTGAGGGTGAAGCTATGAGCTGGAGCAGGGTCTAGGTCCTGCAGGGGGGCTGCATCCTGTTTTGGGACCACCCAGCAGCCTGGGTAAACACAGGAGTGGTAGCATCTCATGGCTCTGCTGTACTGCCTGTGTATGTTTGCCTCTCACTTCCCTCCTATCCCTCCTTGAGAGGAGGCAGGAGCAGCTGGTCCCAGCTGGTTCTGTACTGGTCATTTGCAAAGACTGAGAGATGCAAGTGGCTGATTTTGCTGTATTAACTGAAGGGAAGTGATGACCCAGCGAGGAGTTCCTGTGGTGCACTGGTTGGCTCTTGAAAACGTAGAGAAGGCCCTTAAACCCAGTTGACATTTCTGACTTTTCATGGGGAAGCATAAACAGGCAAAACAGTACTGGGCATATTTTAAGATCTGGTTAGTGAGAGATGCCTCTGCCCAAATTAAGACTCAAAGGAGACCATGTGCCAAACTCAGCAATATGGATTTTATTTAACAATGAATGTTAGGTAGAGAGATAGAAAGAAATAAGTTCGTCCTGTGGCCTGGACAGTGTTTGAGACAGGCAACTCTGCTCTTTAAGTCCTTACAACATATTGGTTTTGTCATGATGGTGATAGTACAACCTGTTGCAGTGCTGACAACACTTTCGGTGAAGAAGTTATTCTTAATATCCAAACCGAACCTCCCCTGGCACAACTTGAGGCCAGTTCTTCTTGTTACCTGGGAGAAGAGACCAACCCCCACCTGGCTACAACCTCTTTTCAGGTAACTGTAGAGTGATAAAGTCTCTCCTCATCCTCTTTTTCTCCAGACTAAACACCACCAGCTCTCTCAGTGACTTTTCATCAGACTTGTGCTCCAGACCCTTCACCAGCTCTGTTGTCCTTCTCTAGATACATTCCAGCACCTCAGTGTCTTTCTTGTAATGAATAAGATCCTTTTACACTTTTAGCCTTATTCTTGTTCCTGACTGCAGGAGGTTGGTGACCTCTCATTGCCAACATATAACCAGTTTGGTTTTTCTTCATTATTATGTGAATTAAATTTATGGAACATTACCAGAAACTTTTGGACTCTGATTCATGAGCTTCTGGATACTATTTGGTTAACCAAACTGGAAATCAGATCAACCTTGACAATGCAGAGATAACTACTTCAAGGTGCAAGATAACTACTTCAACTTTCATTTTTTTTGCATTAATTTTGTGTGAATGAATTTTCATACAGATATGAAAAAAGAAGAAAAATTAATTGTTAAATTATTAATTGTAAAATTATTCATTATAAAATTATTAATATGTTAAAATTTGCATTTTAATAATCACAGTTCCCAAAAACTGCATTTCTCTGTCATTCTTTGGTTAACAGTTCTTAAATTGCTTGGTAAGAGACATTCTAACATAAAAATAATTTACTGTGAGTTTTTAATCTGAAAATTCTTTTACAGTGAGATATATTCTGTTTTAGAAGATACTTTTTTTCAATTTTTAACTGTCCCTTATTGACTTGGGTTTAATTCCTGAGTAAAAAAGTAAGAACATAGAGGCAGAAGAATAGTCATTGCAAAACATTGGAAGCTTCAGGCATAGCTGTCTCTCACAATGTTATTTTCTATGTACCTTCTGATGCCAGTGGCCCAGCACATCTGTCATTCCATCCTTCCAGCCCAAGTACTAATAAGCAGCAGACACACTGAGCAGCAGTATCTGATTAAGTGCATCAGTCAACACAGGTCCGTTTTAGCTTCATTCTGCACTAAAGTGGTGTGTCTCCACTGTTTGATACGTCACGTTTCTGACAGCAGGAATGTCAAAGTTAAACAAACCTTGCAGAGTTGTAAGCTTTCTTTCTCTGTGCTTGTTTTTGCTGGGACTTGGTGGTTGTCAGCATGGGCTTGTATGTGATTAAATTGTTGTAATAGTTTCCTGTGTGAACACTCCACGCTCAGAAAGCATTTGTGTGATTTAGCTTAGCCTGTTTTAGAAATGCTTATAAAAAGAGCTGGTTTGGTTATCTCTGCAATTTTAAATTCAAATGCTCACTTTCTTGCATTACAACAGTTTTCCCATTATAGCCTGTGAGTCCTTATTCTCCCACTGTCAGCATCCAGACTTAGTTTTGTTATGGCTGTTTAAAAGCAGAAACCATCTGTACAAAACTTCCTTGTCTGTTTTAGAAGACAGGGGATGGGAATCTCCTACTGCATTTATTTTATAAATAATTAATAAGTTCTCGCAGTAAGTCAGCTACCAAAGTTGCTCTCTTTCCTCATGAATGAAAGAGGGAGATGTCCTTTGTACAATGACTGTTTCAACAGAGTTTATTGACCTCTTGAAAAACTCACCGCAAAACCGTAGTCATTTTGTTAATACTTAACCTAAAGGTACATCTTAGGACAAAGTGAAGTTTTCTTGGAAGAATCATAATGTAGCAAGTTATGAACAGTGTGAAATTTATTCGTCTAGCGTCCCTCCTGTTCACGCCTCCTATCTGGAGTTGTAGCATTTTGACTGTGAACAACATAGAGTGGTAAAAATGAAAGAACTCTTGTTCAAAGAGAAAGAAGCTGAGGATAGAAAGTGAAGACATGAATCAGTACTACTATATTTTGTCTGACAGCCTTCGGTGGTAGGGTACATTCTCCTTTCTGGGAATTTCCAGACATTTTCACCTTGCTTCTTCAAAGCCCCGTGTGCCTCCAAAGGTGTTGAAGGCTGGACCTTGAGGTCCCCTTGTGTTGCACTGTATGCTGCACTCTTCCTTGAGCAAGCCTGGGGGGAAAAAAACCCCCTTTTTAATGGAAATCTCACATAATGCCCTTAAGAGAGGTGTGTCAGGTTTGTTCTTTAATGCCCCTTTGGGGCAGGGGAGGGCAAGCAAAAATTAACTGCTTAATAATCAAACAAAATCAAGCAACATTTTGAGAGGGTGAGCTGTTCAAAGTAGAGAAGAACTTCAGTGGATTTTTTTTTTTTATAGTGAAAACATTGATGGCTAAAGATTAGAAAGTTCTTTCTTGGGGAAAGAAAGATTGGCAAAGGGTTTGTCAAAGTATGTTGTCAACTGATGAAAAATTAAACTGTTATGCTAAAAGAGAGAGTATAACTTTTGTTTTCTTCACAGAGATCATGCAGTTTTAACCTGTGCTGAAGAAGTTTGTACAATACTGTTTTTTCATGTATAATTGAATCTTACAGTGAACTTAAAATCTTTCCTTGTAACTGAAAGTTAAGGGTCCTTTATGTTGTTGTTAGTCAAGTAGGATTTGTGTGGGTAGTTTCAGGGGACATTTTTATTTTTCACTAAAAACAACTCAGAATTTGATTTTTAAAAGCAACCCTTTGACAGAAATTAATCAACCATTTCTAAGTAGAAGCTGATGAAATTTTGTAATCTACACCATTTCCTCTAGTTATGCAGTCACATGTCTGGATATCACATATGACTGTTGGAATGTTACTCATTTGGCTGAATCAGTTTTCCTGATAAAAGCTTTGCATTTGCAAATTTTTGTCCCATGACAACTATAAACTTCTGAGTATTGCTGCTTGAATTTCATGCAGTTTGTTGCCTGAGTCTCTTACCAACCTTCTTTTATTTACTGTTAGACTGTCCTGGGTATACTCTCAACACTACCTTTACTTCTATTCCTAAGGACTCCAGCACTGTACCTACCTGTGTTATATCACTTCCTCAGAAATATATTGGAACACTCAGAGCATGAGTAACCCCTTTCTCTCTTCTGTTACTTGTGGAATGTGCTCTGCTCAGCAGTTATGATGGAAGAACATGGGGAGGCAGACTTTTCTCAGACAGCACTGGATGTTACTAGGTCTCAGACTTTTCAACACTTCTTGGGTATTTCTGAACTGGTGGGCTCCTAGTCAAGACTTCCATTTCTGGACAACAGGCTGCCTGGGATTTCTCAGCAAATCTGAAATCACTTGTAACACTTCACTAATTCAAGGGAAAAACAAGGTAGTTATTTAACTTCAAAATTAAAAGCTTAACAATCAAAATTTGGAGACACATAAAAGCAGAAATATAACTATACTTTGTAGCCGCCTGCTTGTTAGTGTAGGTCTAAGAGGTTCCCTCTCTATGCTTCATCTGGCTAAGAAAGCTGCCAGGAGACTTAACACAGCAGGGATCCAGTCCTTAGATGTCACCTATCCAGGCAACATACCCTGCACAGGAGGATATCCATCACTGAGGAAAGAGGTTTGTCTGCAGAATCCTGTGGCTATCTGGCATTAACTTTCACAATTTGAATCTCTTCTGAGTCTTTCCTGCAGTACAGAACCTCACGTTTAACCAGGACTCCAGTCTTTTCCCTGGGGGTTGTTCGCCATTACAGCCTCTATGACTTTAAACATTTTTAACTCCAGTGCTATCAGCTGCCCAGACAATTAGCAATTCTTTCTGCTAGCTATAAACACAAAGCCTGACAGCTGGCCTAACGTTTATTTGGCCATAAACAAGTCACTTAACCAGCAGTCTGAACAGAGTTTTTTTGTTCAGGTAGCTGCAGGAAAGGTTTTTCTCAGCACAAACCCCTTAAAAACGCAGATAATGAGAACTGTGCTTCATAGAAATAAGAATGCTGAAAACCATGCAAATGTATGAGAGAGACTAATGAATATAGCTCATAAATAGCCCCTCATTGAGGTGGAGATTGCTGTAGCTGAACAAAGATTGAGGGAGACAGCTGGAGTGATGCTGCAGTGTGGGTTAGTGGGGTTAGGGTAGAGGTCATAGCAGCAATAGTTCATTGCTGCTGTGTACAGCACACTTGTGCACTGTGGCTCAGTTCTAAAAGTGCGAAGTGGCTGATGCTATTTTGTTTATTAAAGTGGCATATTTCAATTTTACGCAAATGTGTTTTGAGTACCAGCACTTCTTTCTCTAGGCATCTTTCAGACTGACCTTAACATATATGATAAACCAAGATACTAATCACATTTTACACTGAGAGATACATTATACACATCACTAATAGTTCAATGCTGCCTCATTTTGCAGATAAGCAAGGTGCCATCTTCTTTCTGCACTTAGGTCTTCTAAAAGGCAAACAATGTATTTGTGACAAGGGTGTAGCATATCTACTGATGTGAACAAAAGATTTGGGACCTAGCTGCCGGGTCATCCATTCCTCAAGGGAAGAGTGGTCTGGGTAGCTGTTCCTCAACACTTGGTATTGCTGGGAGGAGGAAGTAATAATGCTGGATAACTGCCCTCTGCCAAACAGCAGTGGGGATGATGCTGGAAAGGCTGGAAGCACTTTGAGGCAGGAACTGTCTTTCTGGCCTGTGGATGTGCTCCATCTGGAATAAGGACATGCTCTTCCAAGAGTGAGATGCCAAGGTACTACTGCAATATATGTAATAGAAACAGTTGTTCCTGATCCTTCTTAGGACTCAGGAAATCCCTGCACTGTAGAAGTGTTTCTCTGGATTATGGGTTGGAAAAATGCCAGCAGCTGCTGTTGAACTGGCATCTCATTTATTTTTTGGGCCTGGAGGTATTTACATCCCTGGTATTTCCCTGGTAACATTCAAAGCCTAGACTGAGTGGAGACTAATTAGCCCCACTGAGCACAGTGCAAGGTTGCTAACAACTCTACAGAGCCAAGACTTCTTCCAGAAAAGATTTAGATGCACAGATCCCAAAATTAAAGTGGAAGCAGTAAGTGTCTTGCCTGTCAGTCAGGCAGGATGACAGCAGCCGAGGAGCCCGTGGCTGCCTGCCCTCCTGGTATTTAGATGACACCTGCTGGTCAAGTGTCCCCAGTCATTGAAGATATTTTCCACACACAGAACAAGGCAGTCTTGGATGTGTCATAGCACTGAGCTTAATATGCCACCCTGATGAGAAAAAGGCTGCCTGTGAAGAAAGGATATCTCTATCCTAAACTATCACCTTGTGTCATTAGAGAATTTAGAGCCAAACCATCAGGAAAGAACTCCTTGAAAATAGCATCCCCTATTCAAATTTTCTTTTTTTTTTTTTAGCTTATCTCTCTGTCTCACAGCATAATCCCTAGCATTTGAATAATGTTAACTTTTGGATGGATGTTTAATCCATCTGGGGAGATTCAGAAGTCTGCAGAACAGGGCCCTTAGCAGTCTGGTGTCACTTCGGAGCTGGCCTTACAGTGGGTCAGGTAGGTGTAGCCAGAAGTCCTGTGATGCTACTGTGGTGGTTTGGGCTAGGCCTTCCTTGGTGACCAGTTTGTAACCAAGGAAGGGTCCAGATTTACCCAGTATTCCCTATGATTTTTACATAAACCAGACTATAAGAAGAAAGGAGGAGAGGCCTTTGCTCTCTTTCCTTCCAGCGGCTTGGAGGTGCAGGTTCCCTGCTGTTGAGTCTGTCGGGCTGGGGAGCGAGGCCTGGTGAGGCCTTGTCAGCCTTGGGAGACAGAGGTTGCCGGCGATCGTTCCGGAGCGACTCTCGGTTGTCCCAAGGAGAGTAGTGAGCTATTTCTTTGCTAACTCTTTTAGTGGATAGATATTGGGCTGCTAATTGGGATATATATATATATATTATTTTGGTTTTGTTCCTTTTCCCTTCCCCCTTCCCATTCCCTTGTGAAATTGTATATATTTCAATTGAATATACCTGTAACATAAGTGTAAATATATTTATATATATTTATATATATCACTTTAACTGTCTCTCCCTCGTTTTGGATTTTCTTAGTTGTTTTTCTCCCTCTTCTCCCTGAGGTTTAGGGGGGGGGGGCGATTTCTTGTGGTAAGGTTTGGAGACTTGGCAGGGAGCCAGCTTCAAACCATATCAGCTACCATTCTGTCTGCAAGTGTTATGGCCATACACTTCAAATCAAGCTTGAAAATTTGTTCAAGACAGCGTTGCTTCTCACTCTTCCAGATACCCACAGCTTTTTGAAACAGCAGCAGCTTCGAAGGGAGAGGTGGGAACAAAATCATAAAGCTGCCAGAAAGGTTTCTCGGCGCTCTGTCAGCAAGGAGCGGTGGGTGGAGACGCTTGTGGTTGCAGACAGTAAAATGGTTGAGTACCATGGAAGTGACCATGTGGAATCATATATCCTCACTATAATGAATATGGTATGTACAACATTTTGAGGCTTTTAGATAGACAAATTAAGCAAACCTGAATTTGATTATGTTGCTGATCTCCTTGAAGTAGGTCTGTAACATTGTTCACAGAGAGAAATGTGATGTAATTCATGTATATATTATTGAAAGTCTGTATTTTAAAGTATCTTTTACCTTGTATTTTGTGTAAACACGATTTTTCACTGGATTCTAAGCAAGAGAAGTCTCATAGCTATAAAAGCCAGCACTTTCCACTGATATTCTCTGTCTCCCCTGGAATCTGTTGCTCAGTGGTGATTTCAGATTTTTTGCTACAGCAGTAGAGAGCAATTCTACAGGTTTTAAGCATACAAATTCTTTCATATATCTGTGCATGAGAAAGGCACTCAGGAGCACGCTGGTATTTTAGCAAGAGCTAATATTTTAGCTAATATTTTAGAGTTTGTTACTGTACTGGTCACAAATCCAACCAGCAGTGTAGGAGCTATTATGAAACAAGTTAACCCTATCCCAGTTAAAACAAGTACAATTGTTTTCCCAGATAAGTATCTTGCCTAGAGTGTAAAGTTCACATTGGAGAAAAGAAAAGGTGTTCTTTGCGTGCTTTCCTGTGTGGCAAGTTTCAAAATATGATTTGTTCTGAGAAAAGCCATAGCATTTTGTGAAACTACCTACAGATATGTCTTCTGTTATTATCTGTATGGTAAATATTGACCTTGAGAGTCTACTGGGGATGTGTTCTATGTGGTTATCATGGCAGATATGTAATAAATGCTAAGTTAATCACAGTATAATTTTAGCCATGTTAACTGATCTGTCCCTTATGTTTATAGAGTGTGTTCCTAGCTGTGCCCCAATGAATCTGACTAGCTGCTGAGGCAGTGAGTCTGATTAAACAGGTACAAAGGTTGTTTGAGCGCATGAGGTTTTGTCCACACAGGGAAAAATGCGTGGAATAAAAACCAGTTATTATCAGGTTCCAGAACAAACAAGTCTCAACATTTTCTCTGCGGTCTGACCTTAGATGTTAGGGTTACTTAAAATGTTTCAGTATTCTCCATAAAGTACCTTGAAAAAGACCCATATCCAAATCAGACCTTCGTGAACATAATTTCCACTTTATTTTGATAATTTCTTCTTTAGTGTTCTTCTCCATAATAGTTTTGATCCAAAGGCAATCCATTTTGTTCATTCGTATTTCCTGTGATAGATGGCATAGGTCACATACAGATAGATTGTGAGTATCATCATTCCTCCTGCCTAATTCAACATTGTAAGGATGTTTATGGCAATTGGATCACATTTTTGCTGAGTTCAGTTCTTGTACGGTTTTATGTGTAGTCTTTTTTTAATGGAGTCATTATCCTGGCTTTTGTTCTTATCATCCCCTCCTGTGCTCTGAAAACACAAGACTGTTTCTCTTTATTTGTACTCTCTAAATTTTGCCTTTGTTTTTGCAACAGAATCTGATTCCTGTTGATTTAAAACAGAACAATTTGATGTACTGGTTTATTTAGACCCTGAAGGGACCTCTCCATCAGTGTTATGTGACTGTAGATGTTGTGTTCTTTTCTGCTAGAGTTTTTTAAGAACTCTGAAGTTTTTGAAACGGAAACGGACACAATATAATCTTCTCTGGGCTTTTGCTCTCTAGCTTAGTAACTTTTGTATCATCACTTGTTTGGCAGAGCTAACCTTTGCAGTAGTTCCAACATTTATTGCATTTCAGTAAACTCTCAGTGAAATGCATTGAGGATTTAAAAACCAAAACAACACCCCCACCCCCAGATGAACAGTATACTAGAAGTAAATGTCATATTTTCTCTCTAAAGTCGTGTTCTGCTATAGAGGAATCAGTTAATCTCATACCTCCTGGCTCTGGCACAGGTCACAGGGTTGTTCCACGATCCAAGCATTGGCAATGCAATTCACATTGTGCTGGTCCGGCTCATCCTCTTTGAGGAGGAGGAGGTAAGGTTTTTATTTACCTTGAAATATCACTTATAAAACTTCTGAGTTCAACATATTGAGCTGTAATCATATTTGCTTAAAATAATGTGATAATTTTACTCTGTTAATAATATTTGACATGTCTGGTTTTAGAATAAATGCTGCCCTGTATAGCAGTGATGACTTCGGGTATTTCTGCACAGAATTGCCTGGGAAAATATAATTAAAACAGGCAAGTTAGGAATGGGGAAGTGGAATCTGCCCAGCGTCAAAAGAACATAGGATGCCATGGGAGACTAGACGAGAAGCAGAAATTACGCATCAACATTCAGGATCTAATTATCTAACGCTGCCCGAAATGTATTGTAAAGTGTAGTGCTAGAGTATTTGCAGGTCTCTGAAGAATTAAATCTCTTACTGTGCAGTGTTCAAACACACATTTTTCTTTTAAAATCTCTTTTGAAGCAAAAAATTGAGGACTGAGTAGATGTTTATTCCTCTAATATAGCTGTATATTGGTAGTTTCCACTGTCTTTCTTTCACAAATATGTTGCTACGTGCCTAAAAACATGCTGATTGTAATAAT